AGAGCAATGTCAGCTGAGTTCCCTCTCAAAGCAAGATAGTCATTGTTCTATCCAGTCACTTCTATCTTGAGTTGATTATTAACTTCGTGTGGGAATTAATGGGACAATCCTTGAATGAAAACAGGGTGCGCACTCGCAATGGAAAATCAGCATGAAAGGGGCAATGGTGAACACACTCCTGGACTGTTCATGGGACTGTTGCCTGCAGTCTACCTTCCCTTCCATCACCTAACTACAGCGTCAATCTGAGTGACAGGCTGAAAGGCAACCTTCTGTCAATGGCTTCAGGCTGTTCTTAGGCAATGGAATGTTTTAAAACACCCTTAGACTTGTGTACAAGGCAATTAACTACCTAGAAAGAGGCAACAGAGAATCAATGGTATAGCGAGAATCTTGTGATGGTCGATTTCACACATCAATGTGGCTGGGCCACCATGTCAATATATCTAGTCATCCGTTATTATGGATCTTGTTCTGGAAGGGGGTTTGTGAATGAGGTTTACATTGAAATCAGTAGGTCCTGAGTAGGAAGTTGCTCTCATGAGTGAGCCTCATCAGTCAGGAGAAGACCTGTCTGGAATGAAATGTTGACGTCCCCAAGCCAGAGAGAATCCCAACAGCAGATATCTTCCGACTTTCTTTGCCCTGTTTCTGCAGCAACACACAGTCTTGGGACTCAACTGCAATTATTTCTGCAGTCTCCAGTTTTCAGGCTTCTGCCACGAGATTTAGGACTTGCCAGCACTTCACAGTGGCATAAACTTATTCCTGTGCCGTCCTATTGGCTCCATATCGTTAGAAAGTTCTAACAAAGCTCTTTCAATTCAAAGACAAGATCCATACCATGTAGTTTGGGTCTAAGCAGACTCAAAAGCCCCATGCTGCCTTCCTGAAAGAACACCTATAAGATAATCAAGGGGAGCTGGGGAGAAAGCTCAGTTCTAAAAGTGCTGGTCTTACAAGAACGAGGACCTGAGTTCCATTCCAAGAGCCCACATTTAAAAAAGAAAGAAAAAAAAACCACAGATGTGGTGGCAAGCACTTATAATGCTAGTATTGGCCAGGAGAAATAGGCATCTCCCTGGGGGTCAGGCCACCTAGCCCAGCATATTTGGTGAGGTCCAGGTTAGAGAAAGACACTGTCTCAAGAAACAAAGCAGACAGCACTGGAGGAATGTTACCCGGGTTGACTTCTGGCACCCATATGTGCAAGCATACACATACATGTGTGTACACACACACACACACACACACACACACACACAAAGATAATCAAGGGGCCAACATCAAAGGTGACCACTGTTAGCAGGACAACCTTGATAATAAAGTTCAATATGAGAAATTGGTAGCCAGCAGTAAAATTCCTTCCATAAGACATAAGACTGAGAAATATCTCCTCACCAAAATACATCTGACAGGAAGGAATGAGCTCAATTATTCAGTGAGAGTGGTGTAAAAGTAACAGAATTGTTTGTATCTTGATGGATGATCTAATAAAATAATATAAAATGATTAAAAACAATAAAACAAAATCACCAAATATAGTTCTATTTTTCTTGTGCTATAAAGTAGATTCTTGCACAGAGAGAAGGCTGGACTGTGTAACTTCTGACTGTAGGGAACAATAAAAAGAAACACAATGACACTGTGGAAACACAAGCTGCAGCTACTTAAGTCACTGTATCTGCCCAGACAGTGGCCACAAAAAGATACAGATCTCAAGTACGCGTGAAAAAGATAAGCCACCTTCCTAATCCTCCTGTCCTTGCCATAGCTAGTAGCTGACTAGAGGAGACATTTCCTTCCTGGAGAACAACACACTGGGTGGTATTAGGTTTCCAACAAACGTGGTGATCATGGCCTCAGGGACTGGGGACACAGTTCAGTTTATAAAGCACTTGCAGGACAAGCATTTGGACCCAAGTTCAGTTCCAAGAACCTATATACAATGGTGCATGCTTGTGGTCCCAGCACTATGGAGACAAGATCCTTGGGGCTCATTGCCTAGGCAACCTAGTTTAATGGGTGAACCCCAAGCCCAGCAAAAGACTCTGACTCAAAAGTCAAAATGAGGGTGACTGAGGAAGATGCCTGAGGTTGACCTCTGACCACCACATGCACAAGCAAGCATGTAAGTGTATACACACAGATACACATGAACGTGTACACACACAGATACACAGGAACGTGTACACACACAGATACACAGGAACGTGTACACACACAGATACACAGGAACGTGTACTCACAGAGATACACATGAACATGTATACACACAGATACACAGGAACATGTACGCACACAGATACATATGAACATGTACGCACACAGATACACATGAATGTGTACGCACACAGATACACAGGGACGTGTATACACACAGATACACAGGAACATGTACACATACACAGATACACATGCAAAATGACTCAGATATGGTGACTGATCACAACATTCTGAAGGTAAATGCAAAGCCAATAGCAGTGAACTCCACAATTGACCTGGTGCTGGGGGATGACAGCAGCTGGCAAGGAGAGAGCTGCTGGAAGCTCTTCAGAGAAGCCCACGTCCCCAGTGAAGATGTGCTTGCTCTGAAAAGATCTGCCAAGATGAGTGCGGACTCTGCACCAAGGCTTTTGAGTCTTTTTATCCCGTGTTTAGCAAGGTTTTCCAAGTTATCTGCCAGGTGCTAAATACCTCTCCAGCCTTCTCAATGAATCTGAATGCAAGCAGAGTCCCCTGGCTAGAGTTTCCTCACATGAGTCCCACATCCTCAGTGCATACCCACATGTCATGGCAACATGATGACTACCTTCTAGTGAAACATTTCCCTAAAGGGCCAGCCATTAGGAAACAGAGCTCAGAACGAAGCCTCCCATTTCATCAGTCACTGACCCATCTATTCCATTCCTGGGCATATACACAAAGGACTCCAGATTCTACTACAGAGATACCTGCTCAGCCATGTTCATTGCTGCACTATTCACAATAGCCAGGAAATGGGATTAGCCTAGATGTCCATCAACAGATGGATGGATAATAAAAAATGTGGTAAATACACACATGACAGAAACATTCAACTGTAAAGAAAAATGAAAATTTCAGAAAATGAATGGAGCTGGAAGATATTATATTAAGTGAGGTAGCTTACACTCAGGAAAACAGAACCTGCCTGTTCCCTTTCACATGTGGATCCCAGCTTCTGACTGGTACAGTTTATGTGGCAGTGAGTGCGGTCAGAGGCCAGGAAACCAGAAAGGGGGTCCATGAGAGGGAGAAAGAGAAAGAAGAGGGACAGGTAACAGAACACATGTGATATGGAAGTGACAGGAGAATACTGTGGGTGGAAGGGTGCAAGCAGGGAGTGGGGAGATGGGAGAGGGGGTTCCAGGAAGCACAGGTCAACCACAAAGGGGGTATGTATGAGAATGGCATAGGACATCTGTTACTCTGTCAGTTAATTTAAAAAAATAAGATAAAACTTCCAGAGTGGCAGTGCTCCTTTGAGATGGTTCTCTTTTATTGACACTGCTTTTTGTCAGAACTAATCATGCCTCAGAACAATTTGGTGGGGACAGTAAGGGTGGGAGCTGTGCACATCTTCCCTGCAGGTTTACATGGAAGCCACAACACTTTCCATCACTTCTCACTCTTCTCTTCTGGGACTACTGCACTGAGTAGGATCTGCATCGCTTCCTCATCTTCTCTACAGTTGTCAGCCCAGCTCTCAATGTCATGAAGGAACATTCAGTATCTTCTAGATCCCTCCATAAAACGCATTGATAAGAGAAATTTCCCTTCAGAAAGGGAACAGACTGCCCTGAAGGGGCAGACACGGAAGACCCTCTTGGCTTTGTAGGTGCTGCTTGTAGGTCATGCCTCACCTCCTGTTACCCCACACCCTCTCTCTCCCTTTACTGGAGGGATAACAGCTTTGGATTGGTTTATCCTCACATCTGTCTGCTAAGATTCACCAGAAATGATCATTCCCACTTTCACTTGGGTTCCTTACCACACTGCCTCTTCCAGGAACATCTTACAAGAGAGTGGCATATTTAAGCAATTGCAATATTATGTCTAAAACAATGAAACTGCACATTTTCCATGTGACAAGTATTATTTGAAAGCCTCTTCCTTTTGTCAGCTAGCCCCATTCCCTTCACGCATTAAAGTTCACACTTCAGTTATGAAATATACTTACATTATCCAAGAAAATTTACCTATTTATCCCTTAAATTTATCTGTCTAAAACAAGTCATAGCCTTGTAGTATTTGGAGAATCCATGTTTGCTTAACTATTACTCTGGTGGAAGTGTGTATATAAATGGAGAGAAGAAAATAAACAAGACTATGCTGGAGCCAGAAGTAGGAAGCAGTGGGAAGAATGGGCCCCCCAATGGCACAGGCACCCAGATTAATGACACTGTCACCCCTGCTGGGATCTTCAGGTGGAGTCCAGAGGCAATCTGCCAAAAAGGTGACTGTCAGGGCCCTTTGCTGCTCTGATCGTTGATTCCTGTCAATACTGGAAAGAAGGCAGAAGAGAAAACTATCTGCAGGCCCTTGCCCCACTCACAAGAGACCTGGTGTCATGTGACCACAGCTACCAAAGAAAATGAGGAATGGGGCTCGGGTCCTCCATAGTGTTTATAATGCTGGCTCCTCAAAGATGAAATCTACTGGGTCACCCTGTTCTTCACACCTTCTCTTGCTGTTCCTTCACTTTCATAACTAGACTGAGGAAGGGATTGCCACAGTTTCAAATCCTGAGAAATAAATGACCATGATGACTTTTGCTTTCTTCCATTTCATTTGATTCTTCTACCAGAAGTAACCTCAGCTTTGTACTAACTCAAAAAGGTCTATCTCTGTATAGAACTTACTCCAGTAACTTTAAAAGTCACATGGAAACTCATGTATCTATATGTTGCCTACACATATATGCAAATACATATTTGTTTAGTTATAGTAATATGTAGAAGCTCCCATGTGACCCTTACCTCTGATGGCTTCGTGGCACATTTTCCTTTTCCTGAACACTCTAAGTCATTCGAGTGGCTGTCCCCAGGCACACAGGTGCTGGCCTTCACCACCAGAGTTAAACGCAAGGCCACGATGGACTTAGCAACAGAATCATTCACAAAACCTAAAAGGAAACAGGATAACAAGAAATATAAAGCAAGCTCTTCCAACACACTTTCTGCAAGACTAGAATTTTGCCTAGGCTGAATTTAGTCTGAACGTCAGATAAACACGATAACATGGAGAAATAAAGTAAGCCACACAGCTTCTGTTGATTCAGACTTCAGGTCCTTAAGATGCAACATCCCTCCAAGCATCATGGGAAATTGCCAAGGACAAAGAAGGGGAGCATCAGGCACGTCCATCATCATTCTGTTCTGCTCCTGTCCTTGTCCTGTGAGAGACACTTTGTCTGCCAGTCCCATCTCTGTGCTTCATCTTAGAACTCAACTTCTGAATTTGCATTCTGGTCTTTACCTGCTGCAAGCACGAAAATGTAATGAAATTCAACTACTATCACAAAAGCTACTAAAGGTCAAGCCATGGCTTAAGAAGTCTTGGTGATATTTTGTATATATATTATCTGGTTCCTAAAATGATTTTCTTATATGCTATGTGTGGTTCCAAGAACTCCTAACAGTGTATTTATCTAAAATACCTATCAAGCATCCAAGGCCAAAGATCTCCTGAACTAAGGTAACACCCTCATGGAAACAACACCTGTCTCCTAGGTCAGGCAGATAGCTTTATTTCTTGTGCAATTTAAGGTGAGACCCTCCTTTCTTAGACAGCCTTACTAATATTATAGACTCCTAACTTCTTACCTAACCACTTCTAGGAATGTAGATTGAGCACATAAGTTCCCTTTCTGATATACTAACTGATCCTTAGCTCTCAGTTGACCTCCTCCTTTAACCACTCCCTTTTTGAGTTGTAAAAGAAAGCCTGACAGTCACTGCCTGAGGAAAACTCTTATCTGCTTTTATGACCCTGTAGGAATTCAAGCCTGGTGACCTGGCTGGAGGGGAAGGATTGTTATTGCTTGGGTTTATAACTGAGTACCTCAGAGACTTGGGGAGAACTGAGAGGTATAAGGAGGATTTTGACCAGAGAGAACTTGAGGACAAGATGGAAGATGAGGAAGAGCCAGATGGGGAAGTACTAGATGGGTAAGAACAAGATGAGAAGAACCTAGACGAGGCAGAATTAAGATGAGAGAATTAAGATAGAACTTAGAGGGCACAGTAGATAAATATAGAGAGAAAGGAACTAGGCTTGAGTACAGAGTTGTAGCTGTGTAGATAGGAATTTATGCCAGAGGAATAAAGTAGATGGACAAAGAGCTTGGTGTACTTAGATTCATTTCCCGAAAATAGTTCTCACCATTCGTAGTTTCTCTTCTGGGCCCCTGGGAAGACTTTATTAAGGCTGGTCCTATAATAATTTTTGAGATTCACCCACAGAGAAAATGCATGTATTTTTGTTTCCTCTCCTGGGTGCTCTGGATAGTCAAAAGTTCTGGAAATTTCTAAAGGCCCCATCTTGTATCAGCCCATCCCAGCGAGTGCCATGTTGGAAAACTCACATCTGCCTCTTACTCTAGTTCCAGGCGATCTGACACTCTCTTCTGGTCTCCAAAGGCATACACACACACACACACACACACACACACACACACACACACACACACACAGAGCTTCTGGCTATATATAACATTGTTTTATACATATTATATCTATATATGCTATATATGTTATATATATGTACATATATATTATGCAAAAAGTTAATTGTTGGGTGTAAGCCTTATATTCATTTCATAGTCACGTATGATTTAATTTTCATGTAATGGAGTTTTTAAGTTTAAGATTCTCTATTATGCTTTAGGTATCAGAAATTCATGCAGGCTTTGACAGGCTAGATACCTATAATACATAGTTCCAGAAGGGCATCATGGTTACTATATCCAAGCTCTTTTAACAATCTATTCCTCTCATTGTCCTGAGGCACAGGGATGTACGCAGACTTACATTTTTTTCTCATGAGAACACTGACATAAAATAAGAAACTGGGTAAGAAACAGAATGCCTTGGGTCTGCCTTGCGTGCAGGACAGCTAGCATCCTCTCCTTAACGATGGTCACTTAAGAACATGTTGCCTCTGTAGATGAGAAATCAGCAACCTTCTAAATTGTGTTCTCAATTTAAGTGCCCTTGCACCCTGGGGGTGCTGTGTATTATTTCCTAAGGCTCATTACCACAGATTTGTTCAAAGTGTTCCTTGACATATTGGGTTCACTTTTCATTCTTTTAAATGCTAAGTGGAGGGCAGTCACAGAGCAAAGCATGAAGCAGGCCTTGAACTGGGGGAAGAAAGGAGTTACGAGGTGCTGCGGTTCTCAGAGTCCCTGATGGAACAAGTAGGTTGTCAGGAATGCTGATGAAGCCCTCTGCTCTCAGAACTATTCCTCACAGCTGTGGGAAGCTAGTTTCTGCACTGCACTCCTGTATTTCCTGAATATTCAGGCAAGTCTTGACACTATACCAGCTCCCCATGTGCCCTACAAAGACATTGTGTCAACTTCCACCGGAAGTGGGTTTCTGGTGTAGAGCAGTGTTTTAGTCCTTGGGGAGCAGGTTGCTTTCTTCCTAGCATTTCCTATTGAACCTCTGTTGTAGACAAACATTAGGGAGGAAGGAAGTGAATGGCTTGCTCCATGGAGCCTCTGCACTATGCAGAAACACCCTGTGCATCTCAACTCTGCAAACACTTTCACCACTCCCTCTTGCTGGCAATACCCCTCCTTCTCCAACTCTGAAAACCACTGAGATCCTACTCTGATCTCATCTCACTTGGAGGCTTTTCCTTGATATTTCAGTGTATTCTGAGCTTGGCAGGGTCTACCCATGCTCAGGTTTTCATCATGCACCAGTCCCCAACTATTTGTCTTAGATGGCTCCATCTTATGCCACCCTTACTGACAGCTCCTTGGTGGCAAAGAACAAGTCTTGGAGAAGGGATGGGTAACACATAGGTACACAGAGCCAAAGCAGCAAAGATGGTAGCCAAAAAAAGAGTTCCAGAATGCCTTATGAAATACGTGCCATGTCCACTGGGGGGGGAGGGGATGCATGTGTATATAGGGGCATGTCATGCATGTCCATGAGGAGGCCTTACAACAACCTCAAGTGTTGTTCCTCAGATACTTTCCATCTTTACTTTTAGTCAAGGTTTCTCACCTGCCTCGCACACACAAAGTAGGCTAGGCAGGGTGACCAGCAGGCCCTGGGCTGTTCCTGCTTCCCAACCTCTGGGATTGAAAGTGCATATCACCATGCCCAGCTTTTATCACATGAATTCTCAGGGTCAAAGTCACTTCACCAACTGAGCATCACACCAGTCCATGCTCTGTTCAAATCCTGAAGAGCAGCAATCATCAGAATGCACAAATCTAGGTTATTATCAATTTAGGATTACCCTGGCTGGACAAAAGGTGACTGACAAACACTGAGATCTTATCCCAAATGACGTTTCTACACATAAAATAACTGAGACAAAATATGGTATCAGTCATCATAAAAATGTTTTTCATGTCTTTGATTCGTTCCCGGGTTTCACATTAAATACTTTTAATTTTGTAAAATCTACTTTATCTGTTCACTAAACATTTAGAACTCACAATGTTCTTCAATTATACAGAAGAAGTTTTCTTCCAAAGATTATGTTTCAAAATTCTATCCAACTATTAAATTCATTTAGCCAGCAATAATTCAGACAAATACATAGTTAAAAGTACACAATGTGTCATTTTCTCATAATTGGCTTCTGTTTCCTCACTGAGCACTAATGGAGTCCACTTCTACAAATGAGGTGACCAAGCTAACTAAGAAAACAAAGACAAGTCACCCTGCTTCCTGTCACTCTAAACTTTTCAGTCAGAAGTAGTGGTTCCTTAAGTAGTGTTGAAACTAGTAGCTTTAGCCAGGCCTTGTAGTACAAGCCTATAATCCCAGCTACTCAAGAGGTTGTGGTGGGAAGATCACAAGTTCAAGGCCAGCCTGGGCAACTTAGTAAGATTTTTGTCTCAAATAAAATGCAGAAAGCTCAGTGGTAGGAGAATTGCCTAGCATGCTTAGGATGGGTCCAGTTCCCAGAAATGAAGACAGAAGCTTCAAAATCTTGCAGGACATTCTCCAAACTACATATTTCCAGACCCCGACATACATGACAAAGAATCTGGGATTTGGAATAGGATCCTGGTGGACGTGTTTTTGGAAATGATTCCTGGGAGCTGGAGAGATGCCTCAGTGGTGAGAGCGCTTGCTGCTCTTGAGTGTGGTTCTCAGCACCCACTGCACAGCTCACAACTGCCTACAACTCCAGTGCCAGAGAATCTGAGGTCCTCTCTACACACATGGGCACCAGCACTCACATATGCACATATCACACACAGACACCCACATAAATGCATAATTAAAAAAGAAAAAGATTCATCAATGTAAGTCAGGCATGTGCTTCCAGTTAAGAATCCGGTAGAAAAACGAAGAAGTCACTTCATAATGTTAATGGAAGTGACAATCATTTAGAAAGAGAGGCATTCACATGAGCCTCCCAGAGTATATTTTATTCACATGTTTTTGGAATCTAAGCAACTGATGTTTACTCCAGTACTCACTATACATGTCTAAATTTCTTAGTGCAATTCAGAAAGAAACAACTCTGTGTTAGCTGTATATGCTTAATAACATCATGAGTATTGGGGCCTTAAAGGTCTTACTGAACTATTGATGAAGCTATACCTGTCCCAGTTAAATGTTGGAGTTATCTATAAACTCTCTCTACCTGAGGACCACACTGCCTGTGGTATCATCTTTTACTTATTGAAAAACCATCTTTCTAAGCTAACAGCTTCCTCTACTGCCCATATTTGTGACTTTTTAGGTGTGGCATGTAAAGAAAACACTTCTGTTTTGAATTTGCACTAGAGGCATTTCTTTAAATAAAACTTTGTAATCTTTGGTCTGGGTGGAGAGATGATTCTGTCAGTAAAGTGCGAGCTGTGCAAATTTGGGGACCTCAGTTCAGAACACATTTTAAAAAGGAGAGAGGTGGGGGTGGGTGGGC